GTCGATGACGTCACGACAAAGTCTTGACCTGCGTCGACCTGCGCAAGTCAATCCGACGGCTTCAACATGGCGTCGAATTTGTATCTTATCGCTGCAGTTTTATCGATTTTCTCCTTCATGACGGTAAAAGAGATTATTTTCCCCACCAACGTTCAAGCATCAAACCCGGACAAAATGGACAGACTACAGAAAGCCGCCGTTTTCACAGGACCAACAATCAAATTTTTGTATTGGTAAGTTTTTGCTTAGCAAGCTAGCTTTAAGCTTAATATTCGAACTGATTTGTTCAACTATCGAGCACGTTAAAACGCAGGCAACTGTACCATTCGAACTCGACTGTTGTTAGAAACCGTCATTTGCGAATGTTCACTCTCTCCGCTGATCTACGTTTAAGAGAAACTCTTAAACCACTAAGGTCTTTTGTCACAACTTCCCTCAAACAGGGAAGTAGTTTAGCCATTTTCTGGATGTTTGGCTTCCAGCGAAATCTGGAAATCTTAAAAAACCAGGACATCTTAAAATTTCTACTCCTGACGAAGCTATTTTCGAATTTGACCCAAGATTAGGAAGGAAAATATTTGGTCTGAACACCAACTCAGATGAAAACAAAATGTCGGTAGACTCACGTGGGTTGATTTTACTGCGCCTTTCAATAACATGGGGACTCTAAAATTCAAAGCTCAATGGACAAATGCGTTTTTCACTACCGTCAATCAAATGTTTGGCAGCCCCCTCGGCTTTCGACTACTGCCGAGGGCGTGGTAATCAAATCATTGAGCACAGTTGAGACAATGATACAGTGCTTGGCAGTAGTCGGAAGCTGTTAGGAGCTGCGGAACATTTGATTGATGATAGCAAGAAAATGCATTCGTGGGTTGAGCTTTAAAGGTGCAGTAATTTCACAAAACTTGATATTAGGGACCAATGGTTTATTACATCTCTTCTTCCGTCCTTACACGTGTAGATTTTTTAACTGGTTTATTCTATATCTTGGTTATTTTTTCTCTCATTTGTTGTTTGTTATTCTTTTTAGCATTTTTCTTGTTTTTGGAAACAGAATTCCTATCTCTGCCTTTATTTTTTAAAATGCTAGTAAACTTCTTTGCTGCTCGTTCAACTCTTGATAGTAATGAGGACATTTCGTTACTCATATCTGATAGTGATTCAAGCAGTCTGGCATTACTGATGTGATGAAACATTTGCCACTCATGC